ACCCTATGATCCGAGGTTTGAACCTCGCGACTGTGACTGTGGTATGGAGCTTTACTGTCGTCCGGTTAAGTATCCCATATAGGCTAACGGACCTTTGTCACTCCTAATCCCGGGGCTTGTGCTACCAGTTTCCATCACATAACAACTGGTCTTCGCGTCTATGGAGTCCACTCCGTCTGTTGTTCCTCACACAAATATGTGTATCAAACAAATAGTAAAAAGACTGAAAAGTTCAGTCTGACCAACAATATAAACTGTTGTTTTCTACTATTTGAGATGCAGCAAAATCTGATTTGGCATATATCGTTCAGCCTAGCTAAGTTGTTTTCTCTCTTGCTGTCGTCAAGTCTCTATGTGCCTTGAAGTCAAAGACTAGGATCAATAATCGTTGATTAGAATGATAAAAACCGATTTTCCTAAGAGAATAATTATTTCATTGGTCTGAAATATTTTTGTTATTTCACCATGAACTAATAATGTGTTCAAATATTAGCAAAGGCTCCGAGATGACTAAAAGTTCACAGAAAACGAAAAGCTACTCAATGCTTATTGCTTCATCCCAATTAACATTGATTATGACTTTTTTACTCGGTAAACGAACAGAATAAACTTGTATGCAATAGAGATGTTTGTGATAGCCCACAAATAGCACTGGGCAGCTGTTTCGTCCTGTCCAGTGCTCTTTGTTGGTTAGCACAAACATCTTTATCGCATGTAAATACACTAAATTTTGGGGAATGAACGATCACCCAAAAAGTGAAACCAACACCCAAGAACATCATAAGTGCTTGGTGCTTCTTAGCAAACGAATGGTCAATTCCAAGGTTGCTACTCCAGAAAAATAATTGTGTTTATTGAGCTACATACCATCAGTATATTATAAACCGAGACAGCTCTATTGTGTGCTTTTATTTTAGCCTCTTATCTGTAGCTAACCAACCATTCCGAAACATAACCCGGTTATCATTACTCAAACCGCATTTGGAGAACGGATCCTGACACCCTTAAATAGCACCGTGATCTGCCTCATTGTTAGAGCACTGTGGCTTGATCGAATCTTTGGTTTCCCCCAAAATACCCGAGTTCTCGTAACTACTTGGATGCTGTCTACATGTTTATATATTTAACACTTATGAAGCATTTGATCACCAGATATTGATGGGTTTCTCAAAACAAGATAAGTTACTTATGATCCAGAGTTATCTACAGGTTTTAATCGAACTCGTGCAACATGACTCTCATTTTAGTAATACATGTTAGTTTCAATTATCATAGTGTATATCCATATCGGTAGATTGACCAATACCTGTATTGATATATTTTGTCATAATTACGCATAGTTTATGCTTTTTCAAGTGAATTTTCAGTTAGTGACTTTTGCGCAGTTCAAATAATTTAAAAACCGTTTTGGTTTGGGTTTTGAAATTGTCACGAAGAGTGAAACGTTTAAGTAGATCCTTCGCCCATCAAATACATTTACGTCCTTAAGCGTACACATATCTGGCACCACTTTCAGGCCTTGAATACGGCACCTGTGTTTATCCTTGGAAATAATAATGGTAATAGATGTTTCCACTTTCCTTTGTATTTACTGAGTAAATAGATGTATAATCAACTATCGGGTAGAGGGCCGTAACCCTACAAAGAGTGTCTGGGGAGATACAGAAATGGGTGAGATGGCTGATGATAACGGGATTCCAACTCAGAACATCCAGGTCACTATTCAGGTGGCCTTTCCATTCGATCAACACCGACCATATCAAAAATGTATGCCCACCGAATTTGTTGAAATTTGAATCCCGTTACGAGGAGTTATGAATCAGAGATGGCTAAACATGTGCGCCAACTCAAAACATAAATATCTGGGTTGAACAGTTTTAATAGTTCCTTACGGTTGAAAAGAATCTTTTTCTAAAATCAAAATAAATCGAACGTTTGAAGCATTTCAAGCGTTTAAATCAAGCTTGTGCAAGCTTGTGTGCAAAACAAATTCACTCGCACTTCTGTCACTAGCTAATTTTAGACCTGTTAATTAATTTTGTGCTATAATTCCAACTGAACATGGATTCTTACTTTATTCCGGTCGATATATGTAAATCAGTTGCGTAGATCGTTGCACATTTATCATGATCATGTAGAAACCCATAATACCTAACATGTTTATCGATTTTTGCAGGACCACACG